TTAATAGTTCCTATTGTCCTGCTATTATTAATGAAGTTGTATATTATTCTTTGTATAATATGCCTGCAATAACAAATTTAGATCAATTATTTCAATATAAAAACGTTCGGGTTCATGTTATCACTGTTAAAATGTTCATACCAGAATCAAAGTTACATAATATAATACAGCTAGGTATATTATATACATTTTTGTGCAAGTTTAGTATTAACTGCGTCTCATATTATTATTATTTGTATTATTGTTGCATAGCACTTATTATATCTATAATGTTATGTATTTATTATTTTATATCTCAATGTGTAGCTACATTGTATGATAAATACTTAGTTAATTTAAGCCTTAATCAAAGATACGTAGGCGGTCCCATAATGAATTGGCCTAACTATGAACCAATGAAGGAAATGAAACGAAACCAATTTTATTTTTCAATATAATCACCATGAATACTAACACACTTCTGACATCTGTGAATCAACATCTCTAAACCCTTATAAAAATAATCACATTTTTTATCCTCAAAATGACTGAAGACGGCCGCCTGCAACTCTTCATCGCTTGAAAATTTTCTTCCTCTTAAGTCCCGCTTTAAATTTGGAAATAAATAATAGTCGGACGGGGCTATGTCTGAACTGTAAGGTGGATGTTGAACTTCTGTGAACCTGCATTGACGAACTGCATCCTCCGAAATACCAGCGGTATGAACAGGGGCGTTGTCATGGAGCAACAGGACACCTTTAGACAGCTTGCCTCTTCGTTTTTCCTTTATCTTGTCTCGTAATTTATATATTAAAGAAGCATAATATTCGCCGTTAACGACTGTATTACGTTCTTTAAAATCCACCATCAAAATGCCTTAAAAATCCCAAAATATTGTGCACATCATTTTTTTTGTCGATTGTTGCACCTTTGCCTTTCTAGGGGGCTTTTCACCCTTATAACGCCATTCCATTGACTCGCGCTTGCTTTGTGGATCATAATACAAGATCATAGTTTCATCACCAGTCACTAGCCGCTCGATCACAGTCTTTGGATTTTCGCCACAAAGATCCAAAAATTCCGAAGCGCAGCGCACTCTTTCCTGTCTCTGTACCGCTGAAAGAAGTTTCGGTACCCATCTTGCACTCACTTTTTTCATGTGAAGATGTTCATGGATCGCGCGATGAACGGCACTCTTAGAGAGCCCAAGCCTTGCTGCAATTTTTCTAATCTTCAAACGGCGGTCACTCAGAACCTCCTCTTCGATAAGAGCAATCGTTTCGGGAGTGAGCACTTCCACAGGTCGACCGTCGTGGCCAAAGTCTTCGACGGTTTCTCTCCCGAGGCGAAACTCTTTCACCCAATTTTTCACTGTGCTATAGGAGGGGGCAGACTCCTTATACACGCCATCTAATCGTTCTTTTATTTGGGCAGGGGATAAACCTTCTTTAAACAGAAACTTTATGACACTTCGATACTCAGTTTTCGACATTTTGAAAAAATACGCGACTCTCGTTATTCAAATGCCTGTTAAACTAAGACTAAGCATTTCATCTCGATGCATGTTTCTTATATTAAGTGCACGATAAACGTACTATTTAATGCAACACAACATGTAGCGACATGTCGCGTTGAACTATATCAGGCCAGTTCATTATGGGACCGCCTGGTATCTTTTGTTCTTTTTCTCACACTTACATAATGGTTAGACCGCAGAAACTAAAAGTTGGTTTTTTAAATCCCGGATCACTAGGTACGCATCATGATGAGTTCGTGGTAGCTATGGATCGTCTGAGAGTTGACGTGTTGGCTTTGAGTGAAACCTGGCTCAGGGCAGGTGAAGAAGGAAGGGCACCTCGTGTGCCTGGTTACCACCTGCTGCACATACTCCTAGGCCGGCAGAAGTTCGTTCTCGCGGTGGCGATGTAGGTTTCTACATAAGACGTGGTTTACCAGTACGTAATCTACCTTACCCTATATCGCAGTCTGTAGAACAAATGTGGCTAAGCGCCGAAATCAATGGTAAAATTGTCATAATTGGCACTGCGTATCGACCACCTTGGCTTCAAGTGCAAAATTTCATTGATGGTCTTTCAGACACAATAAACACGTTCTCGTCATATGATTGTGTTGACTACTTCTTGGCGATTTTAACATCAACTACTTAGATAAATCCAACCGTAATACTAAAATATTAGATGAATTCATTTTAATAAATAATCTTAAACAATATGTTAACGAACCTACTCATTTCACAAGTAACAGCAAAACGTTGTTGGATCTAATACTTTCTAACGTACCCCTAAACAAAGTAGAAGTGGATTACATACCTGATTTGAGCCATCATGCGTTTATATCATGCGAAGTCAATCTTACTACGCACAAATGTCCACCGCGACGTGTTTTTTATAGACCAATTACATAATAACATATATACCATATATACATAAATGCTGAACAATTTCATCGAGTTTTAAAGGGTATAAATTGGGAAAACATCGTGAATGTGCAAGATGTTAATGTTATGGTTGCTGAATTTAATTCAACCATATTATCTATATATAATCTGTTAGCTCCGATCAAAAAAGCCCATATTAAGGAACAATGTCGTCCCTGGTTAACATATACAGTCAAATTAATGATGAGACTCCGTGATCGAGCACATTCAAGGGCACGTTTAACAAAAATAGATTCACATATAAATTATTATAAACAATTAAAAAAACAGGTCGTGACTGCTATTTATAACGAAAAGACCGCTTATTTTAACACGTACATTAATTGTAATATTAGAAACTCTAAAACGTTATGGACGCACTTACATCGTCAAATAAATATAAAAAATAAACATAATACTTGTCTACCATACAATTTGTGTGACCCAAAAAAAATTAATAAACATTTCCTTGACGTTCCAGGCCAAAATTTTGCTTCTCAATCCGCTATCAACTACTTCGAAACCCATAAATTTAGCGCTAAAACTTTTGAATTTAAGGAAATAGAAAGTAATACAGTTTTAAAAATTCTACATGATCTGAAGTCGAATGCCATTGGGTTGGATGAAATTTCACTGGAAATGCTGTTATCCACTCTCCCATACTCTTTAAATGTTATTACGGTAATTATGTATAGTTCTCTGAGAGCTAAGTCATTTCCCAAACAATGGCAAACTGCTTTAATAACGCCGATTCCTAAGACAGATAATATTAGGAATTTTAAAGACCTGCGACCTGTTGGCGTATTACCCTGTTTGTCTAAAATCCTAGAGAAAGCAGTATGTAATCAGTTAACTCATTATTTAGACCAAAATGAAATTCTACCGAATGTACAGTCTGGCTTTAGGAAACGACATAGTACTACAACAGCTTTGGCCGATGTAGTGGATAATGTTTTAAGTGCTCGGGATTCCGGTATGGTTACAATTCTAATTCTTCTAGACTATTCCCGTGCATTTGACACGTTAAATAGGGAGTTGTTATTCTCTAAATTAAACTACTATGGATTAAGCTCGGAAACTATAGATTGGTTTCGTAGCTATTTTAATGACCGTAGGAAAATTGTCAAAGTAATAGATGAAAACGGCAATAAAATAGCATCTGATTGCTGTACTGTTACAAGAGGTGTTCCGCAGGGTTCAATACTTGGTCCCTTGATTTTTGAAAAATTTAAATTGTTCCTCTTAGATCAGCAATCTCAAAGTTAAGTAGTGCAAATATTTTGATAGTATGTAATTTTATAAATAATGTATGAGCGTGTATATTATGTATGTGTCTATATTTATGTATATATATGTACACACATATATATATGTATATGTGTGTGTGCTTGAGTATGTATATATTATTTATTGAAATTATGTAATGAAGCGGTGTACTGCAGCTGGTTTATGTATTTGTTTGTAGCTTAAACTTAATTACGTTCCTGAGTGAATTTCAATGCAACCTCTTAGAACCAGTATTAAGAATATTTTATAAGAATTATGACAATATTACAAGAAATAAATTTTTGTTATTATATTTGGTTTAACACAACAGAACTGCCCTCTGCATATAAAGAATATATAATATATGTATATATATTTTTTATATTTATTTGTGTATTTTTATTTTAAATATATAAGGGTGCCACTGAAAATCAGGGTTGGGGTGTTGTACTTCTGATACATTCCAACACATCCTGAGTGGCTTTCCTTTTTTGGAGCAGAGCAGCATTAACGGGTGGATTGTCTTTGTAATACACCCTATGCATTACTCCTTATTCTCTAGTTCTTTATTATTATTATTTTTTATATTATTGTTTGCTTTTTTTGTTTTTTTTTTGTTTTATCATATCTATAAACAAGGATTGAATGTCCTGTTTCATGATTTCTATGTAATTTTGTTTTTGTTTTTTTGTTTGTATGACTATTTAAATGTTATTTGTTTTATGTAATCCACTTGAGTGTGTTGCATGTGCCAAATAAAATCTGTTTCTTTCTTTCTTGATTTTGTAGTAATTAGTTTCATTAACAGAAATAAAGAAACTATTGAAAAATAACGTTAACCTGCTAATGCTAAATGCTTAATGTGTTGTAATTAATAGCATATTTATTTTAAAACAAATATTTTACAAACGAAACAAATAATTAATAGAAAATAATCTCTAGGTGAGTTTACTCCACGGATTGGAGTATAGGACGCAATGAAAAAAATATTAAAATGAAAAATGTTGGTCACCCCTGACCGAACAACTATAAAATTGTGATCTAATCTAGCTGCAGCACTATTAATCAAATTAAAAGCTTCTCAACTTATTTTAATATCGGATATGCCTTTGATTTTATTTAAATTTAATTTTAGTCTATAATTTAATTTTGCTATATAGATACAATTCGTTTTTTGCTCCGTAGCGTACGGTCGCGCTTACTATTTGCACCGGTTAGTGCAACCGGTGCAATTTTAGCCAGTGCTTCTCAACTTTTTCTATATCTAAGCTTAGAAGTTGTTAGTACCTGTCGCAATGGATACTCGCAATTGTGGTGCATGTGGGAGTTGTTATCAGAAGGTCCTCACTACACTGTGTGTAATCAAGAGCTACATTTTCATTGTGCTGGAATAACTGAAGCTGGCTATCGCAAGCTGGGAGACAGAAAGTCCACCTGGCGATGTGTCAAGTGTAAGCAAACTCACTCTATTCAGCCTCCTTTATCACAAAGTATTGAATCCGATGCACTAATACTTAAGGAGATAAGAGCTCTCTCCGGTAAACCGGCGCCATTAGAATGCCTTAAAAATGAAGTCATTGCCCTGAGATCTGAATTTGCTGATCTTAAATCTTCACTAAATAGTACTAATTTGACGCTAAAAGAATTTAATGACAAAATAAAGGACTATGAACAGCGTCTAGTACATGTCGATAAAGTACAAAAACATACTAACCTAATTCAGACACTGTTATAAAAACTGGAGCAGGAGTCGAACTCTGCGGAATTAATGGTCAAGAATGAATAATGTAGAAATAAAGAGAGTACCTCAGACAAGCGGTGAAAATTTGTTTGAAATCATATCCAAAATTGGGTTTATGATAAAATATCCGATTACAAAGACTCAGGTTAATTTCGTCACGAGAGTACCAACCCGTGAGAAGGAGCACAACAAACCGATAATAATCTGTTTCTGCAATTGCTATGTGAAGGAAGATTTTATCGGCAGCCAGATATGCATCGAAGACTAGTCATCTCACATCAAGCAACTTGGGATTTGTGGGCAACAATAGAATTTACATCAACGACCACCTAACCCTGCACAGTAAGACCTTACTCTCTAAAACAAAAAAGGCAGCGGTTGAAATGAATTTTCGCTATGTATGGGTCAAGCATGCCAAGATCGTATGTCGTGCCAAGTAAGAAAAATCGATACATCGCATATAATTATGGTGAAGTCAGAAAGAGACCTTTCAAAAATAGTGTGTTGTTAAACTTATCTTTTACTCTATTATTATTACTCATAATGTTAAACTTACTATTTGTGTGATGTTAAACTTATTATCTTTCTATTGTTTTACTATTATTCATAATATGTTTTTATACTACGCAAAACTTTTAATATAGCAGTTTGGGATGCATACGCTATCGCGATGTGTTTACGTATTCCTCATTTTGTTGTGCAATTACGTATTCGTTTACATAATAATTTTTAAACATCTTACCAATATTGATTGACTATTTTTAAATCTTATTACATGTAGCTTGGTTCGCTTTTGGTCTATTCATTTGCTAATGAATATGAACAATATTTGCTTGTTGATATTTTGTACGTATATCATTGATTTTACTCATTGGTCATTAGTCGTGAGCACTCGAGACTCCCGTGTTGTATACGACGGCGCATTATTCTACCTTTATAAATTATCTACCCGCTTTTATATGGTATTTTCGTTCTATGTTTTAAATGTTACTTTTCTAATACTAGTTAATTTACTTTTATTGGAATGCTGCATTATGACAATGAATTTAGTTATAGTTAAGTTCAATCATGGAATCGATTAAAATATATTACCAAAATGTACGCGGTTTACGAACAAAAACACTTAACTTGTTTAGAAACGTATGTTTAAATTCGTATGAAATTATTATATTTACCGAAACGTGGATGGTCGATAGTATACATAACAGTGAATTATTTGATGGCTGATATTTAGTATGGAGATGGGATCGCAATTACTGTAGTACTTCACAAACGCGTGGGGGTGGTATAATAATTGCTGTGAGGAATGATCTTTCGGTAGTGGAGAGGGGTGACTGGCGTAGTTCAGCGGAAGATATTTGGGTCTCTATTTTACTAAAAAAATCCAGGCCGCAACATATAATATAAACATTTGTGCGCTTTACCTGTGTAAAGAAAATATCGGTAACTCATATAATACCCAATTGCAAAATTTCACACAAAATATTAATACCATAATTATGTCAAATTCGTGTGATAAATTCATAATCGTAGGTGATTTCAATTTTGATAGTCAAGGAGATCGGAGTGTTTGCAGCGATAGTTGTGAGTTATTCCTGTCAATATATTTCTGATTTTCTCAACTCTGTTCAGACCTGCAGCTTATCTCAATATAATTGTATACGTAACTTAAATGGGAGACTACTTGACTTGGTTTTCCCTAATGACCTTGTAGATGTTAAGGAATGTTATGAAACATTAGCAATGCCCGCAGATATGCACCATAAACCTTTGATTTTAAAGGCTGACTTTGTTGAAATACACAAATTAGTTGATAAGAAGAAAAACACTTATCTTTTTCACAAAGGTTACACGGCTATCAGCTCAGCTCTTGACCAGGTAAACTGGTATGAGCTTTTGGGAAATGACTCTCTAGACAATGTTGTTAATCTCTTTTATAATAAATTATAATATGAACTTAGGGACCAGTTTATTCCCATAAAATCCACTAGACGTTCGTCACACCCTCCATGTTATGATTCTGCGTTACTAAAGGTCTTAAAAGAAAAAACACAGGTACCATCGCAAGTTTAAACTATATGGTAATTTATCCGACTACCAATCTTTTTCATTATTACGCATAAGGGCTAACCAGTAAGAGCGGGACTGCTATGGATCCTATATTGATAAAGTCCAATCTTCCATAACTAGTAACCCAAAAATTTTCTGGTCTTTTATAAAATGTAGGAATAATGCATCTGCTACTCCTAATGTAATGTGTTACGAAGAATCTTCTGCGAACACTGATGAAGGAATTAGTAACTTGTTCACTAAATATTTTAGTACCACGTTCGTTAAACCAGAATTGGAAATTTCGGATCCTAAATTATTTCCTATAATTAAATATAATATTAACGGTATTAGCTCAATACACGTCTCAGAAAAAGGTATCTTAAAGCTATTACAAGGCCTCGACATCTCTAAATCTGGTGACCCCGACCACATACCACCAATATTTATCATAAATTGTGCGGAAAGCTTAGGCAAACCCATTAGTATAATCTTTAAGATGTATCTAATGTAGATCTTGAAAGATGTAGGAGATACCATTTTTTTCCGTTGGAGTATAGACGTAAAGTCAATGATATTTGTTTCCTAGTTAATATAGTGAATGGATCTATTGATTCTTCTGAGCTACTTACTCACATAATGATTCGGATCGATTTAATGAAATTTAGACAGCGACCCTTGCTATATATACCTCTTGCTTCAACGAATTATAGAAGAAATTCCTTCTTTCTGCGTAGCGCAGTGGAATATAATAAGCTTTCATCTATAGTAGATATTGACCTATTCTCTACTAGTTCTAGATCTGTAAAAAAGTTGATGAAGAAGAATTTTTCACTCGCAGCCGCGACTAGCATGACTCAAGTTGCTCATTGACTCATTTTTTTTTGTTAACGTTTTTGTAATAGATTAAGTATTCCCTAAAGTATTTTTAAATTTGTATAAAGTTGGATGAAATTAATATATGGAGGCTTGTAATTAGCAATTTTTATCACCATTTTGTAACTTTACGAAGATATTAGTCTGTAAGCCTTCCTAAAAGAAATAAATAAATAAATATTTACTTTGTTTACTTAAGCGTCATTATCACTGTTGATAAGATTCCTTGAACTTCTTCGTTCTTTTTTATAATTCATTGTTTAAAGAGCCTTAACTTTCATTTTGAATTTAATCTGTAGATTTTTACTTTAGATGAATAATAGACTCATAGAATCTTTAAAACACTTGTCGGTAATTTTGTCCAATAAAAGGTACAATTTTGTAAAGCCGTAAACATACACATCGAAACAACCACAGAATGTTGGTTAGATTTATATCGGCGTTACATAGAGCGCAAAAGAAAATTGGAAGAAAAAGGGTCGCGAAGAATATTTCAATATCCCATTCGCATTTTTACGATCGTCATGTGCGCCGCCTTACGATTGTGCAGAACCGCAATATTGGACTATTCCTTTATGTTGTTTTCTTCTTTTTATTATTTTAGCAGCTTATTCGCAGATTTTGTCTTCGTGTTTATGAAGATAGATTTTATGTCTTTTTATTGCGGTAAAATATTTAGTATAGTAGAAACAACAACTTAGTTTTCGTTTTCGATCGAACTCCGACCGTAGTTAATAATTTTTTTAAGATCGTTTAACAGGGAAACTTTTTTTCACTTTCAGATGCTTATTATAATACATATATCTCATAAACAAAAAATAAATAAGCACTTTTGTATTCATATACACTCCACAAACTATTAAAGAAAGAACATTTGAAGTTACACAAAATTAAGTAGATTTTTTTTGGCAACATTTTAAAATTCTTTAGCGATAATTTCTACCCCGTGATAAACTACAGACTAATAAGTGTTTGACATTGGCAATATAAACGTAAACAAACGACAAATATATATATCTGTCGAAGGATTGTAAACTTTAAAAGGACTTTGAAAGGATTTGTAAATTGTTAACTTTAACATTAGGGGTGTAAACTTTAACAATGAATGTTTTACTTTACGTATTTATAACACATACGAGGTGACATTTTAAAGTTTGCAGAATAGGGGATACGGAGTATAAATAAAAATCGAAATTTATTTTCCTTTTCAATTTATTCATCTGCTAACCTAATTCATTTTTCAAATCTTTCAATTAACTTATATATACCCTCAAAAATGATTTGTCTTTGTCTAAAACTGCTTCCTTCACTTCTTCATCACTTAAAAACTTTTTTCCACGAAGTTATTTTTTTTTAGTTTAGAAAAAAATAATAATCACTGGGAGCCAGGTTAGGACTATAGGGTGGGTGTGTCAAAATTTCGAAGCTCACCTACTGCAGGGGAGCCATCGCAACATGGCACTTGTGATCAGGCGCGTTGTAGGGCAGAAGAAGGATTCCTTTGGTCAATTTTCCCCTTCTTTTCTCCTTTATGGCTTCCTTCAATTGTTCTATGATTGAAGCGTGGTAATTTTCGGTTATGAAGACACCTTTATCTTTTTAATTAATCAATAGGATTTCGTCTGAGTTCCAAAAGACTGTCGCCATGATTTTCCCAGCAGATTGTGCCACATTAAATTTCTTGGGTGGTGGTGTGCCTTTTTTGTGCCAGTGCATAGAGTCCTGTTTGGAGTTATGTTCATAATGGTGAATCTAAGTTTCGTCACTGGTAACAATTCGAGCCAACACACCATCTTTGTCTCCCATACAGAGGTCCGAAAATGCACGAGGACAGTCCACGCGCTGTTGCTTTTGATCGGATTACTATCGGCCGTAGTGACGGTCTCAGAGGAAGAGTAGTGTAAGAGTAAATTGTTAGTCATAACGCACCTAAAGATCACGCCATCACTACGTCATACATCGGTTGTTTATAAATACGACAATTGGAGCGTAGTTAAAGAAAAACACAGCATGATGTGTATGTACTCTTTTCTCATCGATGGCGCGTGGGTAGAGTTCAATGAATGCCT